ATTTGGTTTTGTACCTAAACAACCTACTTCGTACTAAATTTTAAATTTACTAACAAAAGAAAATAAATAGTAAAATTACGAAATAATAAAGAAGCGTGTAGCTATCAATATATATATATATATCTTCTTACAAAACCACAAACCACTAAAGTACCTTTCATCCCTTTTGGAAGAAAAAAAGGATTAAAAACGTATATTAAAATTATTTGCTTTTATGACGTAAACTATTGTTGTAAAAGACAGTTATTGTATAACAAGCGCGGAAGACGTAAAAAGTGTCTGTTTAGAGAATGATGTCGCTGGAGAGAAAGCTGAGTTTTTACCACCCATTAAAGGCACATTTTCACTGGGTTTAGGGCCTTGACTAGAAGGCACTGTTGGTTCTGGTGAGAGGGAAACGGACTCTGGTGACGAGACTTCGGTTTCGTTTAGGGGTTTCATCATATTCATTCGTTGGTGTCGTCTCCACTTCGCTCTCCTATTAGAAAACCACACCTGTAGCAAATAGACAATAATTACATGGCGCTTTATTGAAACACGGATGAACAAACCACTTGGAGAAATGTAAATTCATAAAATTAACATAACCCTTACAGTAATCAACTTACATTCATATGATTTAGGTGACTCATCGATTTCCGAGATCTGCACGCAACCTCATGAGAAGTCATTGTAGGTGAGTAATTGACATAACTTATTCAAAACAAAGATATCTCGATTAAACTGACAACTACTTTTTCAACTGTTCATCAAAAAGTTACACAATGGTCTATCTGTGTTGGGTCCACCATGAGTATCGAAACCCGGTTTTTAATGTCGTAAGTTCAGAGATCTACGGGGGAGCTGGGTAAAGGAAGCCTGTCTGAGTTTCACTGTAAGTGTATTTTACACAGCGCAGTAAGCTTGCAGAACACATTGTTGTTACAAGAAACAAGCAACCATCTTATTATAGAGATGAACCTCACGTGAAATACAAACGTAGCTTAGTTAAGTGTCAAAAAATATAGTCTATTTAGAAATGTGCCTGGCTTATGATGATTTGTAAAGCAATATCGTTTCCTTATTTATTTTCACACACTTATTAATCAACATTAGTTGTTTTTATAAACTTTATGTCAACCATTTTGTATGATTTTTTTGTTTTTTAGTGCAAAGCTACACAATAGGTTATCTACACAGTGTCCACCAGATTTTAGAATTTTAAGTATGTAAAGTTACCACTGGCCCACAAGGGGACAATGTGGTGTTATCTCAGATGTCAGACATTGCCGGAGGATGTTTAATGGGTTTTCATTGGTTAGAAGCCGCGTTTTTAGGGAGGATTTGTTTATATCCAGTCATACTGATGTTGTATTGTTCGAAAAACATTAAATGTGCAATACAACGTGAAGTTAACATCTAGTGTTTGTATGTTCTGTATTCTTTAGTGTTGTTTCCATTAACATATTGAATAGAATATCTGATATAATTAGTTTCATTATCCATTATTTTTATTGTTATACTTTTATTATAGAGATTGGTTTGTACTGTTAGCTTTTTACATGGATTAAGGACTAGCCTATGTCTCCTAAGCTAGCCGAACCCCGTGAGATATTATTGGGTTTACTGCCGAAAACATCGTTAACAGCAACGGTACCCAACTGATGAAACAATGCATTCTAATCGTCATAAGGAAGAACAGTATATATAATTAGCTCTGTTTCGATCTAATTAGGTAGTTCCTACAAATAACCTAAAACGCAACAAACCATCTTAAAATTAAACCGCATGCCAACAAAACAAGGTTTTGTTACCTTACTAATACAATCAGCCTATTTTAGCTAAGACATAAAGTACCAACAAAATCAACCAAATTGGGTCCTGTTGCTGTACTTATGTAATTAATGTATTTGAATCAGATCTTTTAAAGAAACTAATGCTAGTTATTAAGAACATTTTATCAAATGTTGATCAGAATTAAATTAATTTTAAAACTAATAATAAATTAATGAAGACAATGTTTAATAACAGAATATCTATAAAAACTTATCAGCATACATCAGTATGTCTGGAGATTAAAATATAAAGATTACATTGAATTGTCCCATAAATACCGTCGCGTTTAACGATATAGCATGTCGTACATTCATTTTTAAATATAGCACAAACTTCCCTGCGATATCGTTTTATCTTATAATCCATTTGAACTGTTTACCAATAAACTACTTATATTCTTAACCTACATTGAGGCTCTTATCTCACCTGGACTCTAGCCTTACCAATAAACTACTTATATTCTTAACCTACATTGAGGCTCTTATCTCACCTGGACTCTAGCCTTACCAATAAACTACTTATATTCTTAACCT